CTGGGGATTCGAACCCGCCACCTTAGGTGTACGTGGCTGGTGCCTTAGCCGGTTGAGCTATAGGCGCCAAGCCCCTAGACCTATAACTTATACCATATATAAAAAGTCACTCAAAATAGATGGAAGACCTTCATGTAAAGCCAAAAACTGTAAACTTGAAATACAAACAGTAACATTTCTAGAAGAAAGCATAGGAGAAAATCTTTCTGCCTTGATTATAACTAAACATTTCTTAGGATACCAAAAGTCTATGAATCATGAAAAAAAATTAATAAATTGGACTTCATCAAAATTAAGAATTTATACTCCTTGAAAAATATTAAGAAAATGAAAAGCAGGCCAGGTGTGGTGGCTCATGCCTATAATCCTAGCACTCTAGGAGGCCGAGATAGGTGAATTACCTAAGCTCAGGAGTTTGAGACCAACCTAAGCAGGAGTGAGACCCTGTCTCTAAAAATAACTAGTTGTTGTGGTGAGTGCCTGTCCAGCTACTTGGGAGGCTGAGGCAAGAGGATCAGTTGAGCCCAAGAGACTGAGGTTGCTGTGAGCTATGATGCTGCAGTACTCTACCCAGGGTGATAAAATGAGACTCTGTCTCCAAAAAAAAAAAAAAAAAACCACAGACTGGTAGAAAATATTTTCAAAATACACCTAATAAAGGACTGGTGCTCAAATTATATAAAAATTCTTCAACAATAAGAAAAATTTAAGACATGGGCAGAAGATCGATGAATAAGAAATACACGAAAGGCTCCATGCCTATAGTTGAGCGGCTAGGGCACCAGCTGTGTACATCGGAACTGGCAGGTTCGAATCCAGCCTAGGCCTGCCAAACAACAATGACAACTACAACCAAGAAATAGCTGGGTGGGCGTTGTGGCAGGCACCTGTAGTCCCAGCTACTTGGGAGGCTAAGGCAAGAGAATCACTTAAGCCCGAGAGTCTGAGGTTGCAGTGAGCTGTGATGCCACAGCACTCTACCAAGGGCAACAAAATAAGATTCTGTCTCAAAAAAAGAAAAAAAAATACACGAAAATGTACTCCTCATTATTTATTAGGGAGATGCAGTGATACTTAGCTGTGCACATGTGAGGATATTTTGTTTCTCCCATCTCTGCCTGGTGCCCTGCTCTTCATCCTTAGTGTCATGAGTTCTCAAGTTGATCCTCCCCTCCTAGTACTCACACAGAATAATGCTCTCACAGAGGAGAGCTTTAAAAAACACAAAATCCTGACAATGTCAGATGCTGATGAGGATGCAGAGTGGTTGGAGCTCTCTAACGTTGCTGGTGGGAATGCAGAATCTTAGTCACTTTGGAAAACAGTTCTGTCATCTTTTGTAAATTAAACATAAACTTATAGTATAGTTTAGCAGTTCTGCTAGTTACTTCCTACAGAGAAAAGGAAATACAGATTTACACAAAGAATCTGAATACAAATGTTTATAGTGGCTTCATTTATAATTGCTAAAAAGGGAAACAACCCAATGTCCTTTAGCTGGTGAATGGACTGGTAAATGGTAGTACATCTGGCTTGGCGCCTGTGGCTCAAGCGGCTAGGGCGCCAGCCACATACACCTAAGGTGGCAGGTTCAAATCCCCAGCCTGGGCCCACCAAACAACAATGATGGCTGCAACCAAAAAATGGCCAGGCGTTGTGGCGGGCGCCTGTGGTCCCAGCTACTTGGGAGGCTGAGGCAGGAGACTTGCTTGAGCCCAGGAGTTGGAGGTTGCTGTGAGTGTGATGCCATGGCACTCTACCCAGGGGGATAGCTTGAGGCTCCGTCTCAAAAAAAAAAAAAAAAAAAAAAAAAATGGTAGTACATCTGTACAATCTGGCACTACCCAGCAATATGCAAGAATGGACCCCTGAAATACATTAGCATGAAGGAATCTCAGGTACATTTTGCTGCTAAGTGAACAGAGTTTCAAAGGGTTCATATGTTATATGATCCATTTAAATAACATTATAAAAGAAAAGCAAAACTATAGGGACAGAAAACAGATAAGTAGGCTAGGTGGGGTGACTCACACCTGTAATCCTAGCACTCTGGGAGGCTAAGGTGGGTAGATTGCCTGAGCTCAGGAATTCAAGACCAGCCTGAGCAAGAGTGAGACCCTATCTCTATTATAAATAGAAAAATCAGCCAAGTATGGTGGCAGGTGCCTATAGTCCCAGCTACTCCAGAGGCTGAGGGAAGAGGATCACTTAAGTCCAGGAGTTTGAGGTTGCTGTGAGCTATGATGCTGTGGCACTGTACCTGGGGCAAAAGAATAAAACTCTGTCTAAAAAATAAATAAATAAAAACAGATTAAGTGATCACAAGGTACTAGAGGTGAGAGAGAGGTTTGACTACAAGGAGGTAACTGAGGAGTGATGGCTATTCTGTATCCGGAATGTGGCGTTACTTTCAGTCATATACGTGTTTGGCAAAATGCATAGTACTGAATGCCTAAAACAGGCAAGTTTTACTCTATGTAAATTAATAAGTAAATCTGACTTAAAAAATTAAAACTCTCCAAGCAATTAAAAAATACATGTATTTAAAGTTTTTCTATTATGTGACTTTACGTTATTTCATTTATTTTTCTTTCTGCTTTGCAACAAACCATTTTAGGCTTAGTCATCTGAATAAATAACAAAAACTGTTACACTCATGCCATTGAGAGCATTCTGTATGACCAACACTACTGTTTCTATGAGTGTAGGAAGCCAAGATCACCACTTTTAAGGTTTTATTTTGAAAAAGACATATTTATTTGTGATATTTAAAATACAAAGTAATTCGTTCACTATAGATTTTATTTATTTATTTATTTATTTATTTTGAGACAGAGTCTCACTATGTCACCCTGGTTAGAGTGCTGTGGTATTATAGCTCACAGCAACTTTAAACTCTTGGGCTTAAGCGATTCTCTTACCTCAGTCTCCCAAGTAAATGGGACTCCAGGCGCCTGCCACAATGGCCAGCCATTTATTTATTTATTTTTTGGTTGTAGCTGTTGTTGTTTGGCAGGCCCAGGTTGGATTTGAACCTGCCAGCTCCGGTGTAGGTGGTTGGTGCCCTAGCTGCTGAGCTACAGGCACCGAGCCCACTATAGATTTTCTGAATGACTGTACACGGACAGGGTGTTTCCCCTGTGCTATGGGCATATAACTATGAGCCAAAGATGTGGCGGCTTTCATGAGTTTCTCATAGCTTTGTGGCTGGAATGGAGAGAGGTGTTGCTATAACATGGTGGGCTGCTGGTGGAGTTAAGGCAGTGGTTCTCAACCTGTGGGTCACAACCCACAGGAACTATTCATTAAAGAGTCATGGCATTAGGAAGGTTAAGAACCACTGAGTTAGGGGGAGCTTTCTAGAGAAGGTAACAATAGGCTTCAAAAGGATCCACAAAAGGGTAGGACAAATAGTGTGAACAAAGGTCAGAGCTAGGAAGTGACTTCATATAGAGAACAGAAAGCCACTCTGCTGAATGGAGCACAGAACAGGTGGCTGCTATGTGCTTGGCACTCTGTAACTTTGAGGTTAGATTGTGTTGAGCTAGAGAATATGGATTTATGCCCTAGGCAGTGGTCTTTGTACAGAGGCGTGATATTATATATGTAGGTTTGATTCAAGCGGAAAAGACTTGGGAGAAAACTATTTCTTTTTTAGAGACAGAGTCTCACTTTGTCACCCTCAGTAGAGTGCTGTAGCGTCAAAGCTCACAACCTCCAGCTCTTGGGCTTAGGCGAGATTCTCTTGCCTCAGCCTTCGGAGTAGCTGGGACTACAGGTGCCCGCCATAATGTCCAGCTATTTTTTTTGTTGTTGTTGCAGTTTGGCTGGGGCTGGGTTCGAACCCACCATCCTCCATTTATGGGGCCGGCGCCCTACTCACTGAGCCATAGGCACCACCCAGAAAAAACTATTTCAATACTCAGAAAAAAACTTCCATTTCTCAGCCTGAGCCAGAGCAAGACCTTGTCTCTAAAAATAGCTCGGTGATGTGGTGGGCGCCTGTAGTCCCAGCTACTTGGGAGGCTGAGGGAAAAAGATCACTTGAGTCCAAGAGTTCGAGGTTGCTGTGAGCTACGACTTCATGGCACACTACCGAAGGCAACAAAGTGAGACTCTGTCTCAAAAAAAAAAAAAAAAAAAAAAGACTTGTTTCTAATAAAATGAGTTAAATTACTTTTATACCACCTTTAAAATGAGCTAAAATTAGTGGATAAAAAAAAATTTTTTTTTTTTTTTTTTGAGACAGAGCCTCAAAGCTGTCACCCTGGGTAGAGTGCTCTGGCATCACAGCTCACAGCAACCTCCAACTCATGGGCTCAAGCGAGTCTTCTGCCTCCATCTCCCAAGTAGTTGGGATTACAGGCTCCCACCACAACGCCTGTCTCTTTTTTGGTTGCAGCCATCATTGTTGTTTGGCAGGCCCAGGCTGGATTCGAACCCACCAGCTCAGGTGTATGTGGCTGGTGCCTTAGCCATTTGAGCCACAGGCACCGAGCTGGGTAAAAAAATTTTAAAATCAGGGCAATGCCTGTGGCTCAAAGGAGTAGGGTGTCAGCTCCATATGCTGGAGGTGGTGGGTTCACACCCAGCCCCAGCCAAAAACTGCAAAAAAAAAGTCTTTTAAAAATCATCTTAAAAGTTTAAAGCACTTGGCAAAAGAACAGTTATCAGGCCAAAATCTAAGGGAAAAAAGAAACTGAGAGAGATAAACAGGATGCATCAAAGCTGTATTTACCTTGAAAATAAATTTCAACTTGTGGGACATGAGGATTCAAGTTCAAGTCCAAGCCTTGCCTAGGTGGAAAATTTAAAATGCAATTGGTACATTGAGTGAGGGCCCCAAAAGCCTGAAACGTTCATGCAATAGTGAGCCAGAAGTAAATACCATCTTCCTTTTGCCTTCAAAGGTTAAAATGAAGGTTGGCAAGGGACTGTCCCTGAAAAGTTGAAACCACAAGTCAGCTCTGCTGTCACTTTGCTGCCCAAATTGATAATGTTCCCCAAAACCCCTCAATTCAAGTGAAGTAGACCTGGATTGGTAGTGTTCTGGGCAGCTGGAGAATCTTTGACTTCTGAGAATCTCCACAAATAATTTTTAAACATAATGAGTAGCATGCAATAAAAAGAAGTGAGCTGTGATTGTACCACTGTACTCCAGCCTAGGGCAATGGAGTGAGACCTGTCTAAAAAAAAAAAAAAGGCAAAAGCACACTAAACAATCCAAGAAAATAGAACACATGTTATGCATGTATGAATCAAGGGGGTAAATGAACATTTTAGGAAATTTCAGAGGTGTGGAGTCAGTATTAGGCTTTCTCTTCCAACTTGTTATAGGACTTGGGATGGTGGAGCAGGGTCTGAGACACGTGGGCTACTGCCCTTACCCCTGGCCAGAGTGTGGGATGTGGGGGGCCATGAGGATGCTCTAAGTTTTTGGCAATTGAAGTTAAGATGATAAAGACCCTATGTACAAGATCACATTTAGGGCTGCAGCTCTGAACAAACTGGGGGTTGTGGCGGAGAGGCATGGGTGTTTTGGGGTAAGCATGTGCTTCTGGAGGTAGTGGAGAATTTCTTACTGTTCCTTGGGACAAGGTGTGAGGGAGGAGATGGGTAGGAGCTCTTGAGTTTACCCAGGAGACCAGTACTCTTGCAGAACTTTGTGATAGCCCTGAGAGCTGCCCTTTGTTCTCCTCCCTCGACTTTGGAGTTAGGGTGCTTTTCTGTCTTACTCTGCCTGTGAGAAGGCCTGGGGTGCAGGTGGAATAATTGGTGATTCCCTCTGTTTCCCTTCTAGACACCTGGAGCCTCTGCCCCTGCCCCAGTGGCTCATAGCCAGCCCCAGCCTCGGGCAGTCGGCTCTCCAGCCACAGCAGCTACCGACTTGGTGTCCATGGCAACCACACAGGGTGTTCGAGCTGTCACATCTGTGACAGCCTCAGCTGTGGCCACCACCAGCCTGACCCCAGTACAGACTCCAGCACGGTCTTTGGTGCCCCAGGTGTCCCAAGGTAAAGGCAGGCTTGGTACTTGTTGAAATGGCAGCTTCTGGTGGTCGTCTGAGGAAAAGTGAGGATTGGGAGGTGGAACCATATGTTACCGTCCAGTCCTAACAAACAAAACTCTCCTCAGGTACAGGAGTTCAGCTTCCAGGAAAAGCCCTCAGCCCTGCTCACTTCCAGCTCCTGAGGCAGCAGCAACAGCAACAGCAGCAGCAGCAGCAACAGCAGCAGCAGCAGCAGCAGCAGCAGCCGCCGCCGCCGCCTTCCCAGGTGCAGGTTCCACAGATCCAGGGCCAGGCTCAGCCCCCCGCACAGATCAAAGCTGTGGGCAAGTTGACACCGGTGAGTCCCAGAAACGCATAACAGGCAGTGCCTGTGGCTCAGTGAGTAGAGCACCAGCCCCATATACTGAGCGTGGTGGGTTCAAACTCAGCCCCGGCCAAACTGCAACAAAAAAATAGCCAGGTGTTATGGCGGGCACCTGTAGTCCCAGCTACTCGGGAGGCTGAGGCAAGAACATTACATAAGCCCAAGAGCTGGAGGTTGCTGTGAGCTGTGATGCTATGGCATTCTACCAAGGGCGACAAAGTGTGACTCTGTCTCTAAAAAAAAAAAGGAAAAGCATAAACACATGTATGTCACTGGAGGTTGTAAGTGTATGATGGTGCCTTGTTGTGTGATGCAGTTCAAAGTGTATTTTGCAAATTTAGCTTCACCTTTCTGTTTTGTTTTATTCATATCCAGTAACCCTTTGATCATGCATTTGAGAATTGTCTTACAGCTGTTCATAGCATTTTAGAGATCTTAATTTCCTGTTTCCACACATACCTTCTTGCTTAGCTTTCATGAGCTTAGTATGGAGAGAGTCTGTCCCCAAAGAAGACTGAAAAGCTGACTTCCTGTCAGTCTTCCAGAGAAAGTGCTCATGACAGTCCTACTCCTCAGCAGTCTCTGGAGGCTGGGTGGTGGGAACTCGTTTTGTTAGGGAAGTTCTTCTGCATGTTGTTTCTCAGAGGCTGATCATTGGAGTACTGAGGTATCTGATGTCTGCTCGTCTGTGTACCTGCATTGCCATTATTTCTGTAAACACATAAAAGGAAATGTTATATACCTGCTACAAATGGAAAAGTCATCTGTACACATACTTGTTATAGGAAGTAACCCCCAGAACTGTGCAGTAAAAACCAGATGCTAAACATGTTTGCAAGCTGTGGCTGGCTGCTGGGCCGACAGAGGCCTGACCCTACTCCCTAAGCACAGGGAGGAAGCAGAGGGGCCTGGGGAGGTAAGCCTCTGCAAACATAGGTGGACCTCCTGAGGGGTCTCATGGCCACCAGCGCACCCACCCCTGCCACTTGAGGGACAGTGGATGAGAGCTGTGGTGCTGTGGTCGCTGGCCAGATCAGGCTCTATGTGGGCCTTAAGCACACAGTTCCTCCAGCATATTAGGCACCTTGTAAGGGATCAGTGGTTGCCACATTGTGCAGTCCCCACGTAACCCACTCCAATCATCGTAAGAAGTTGCCTGGTCCATGCTAAAGTAGAGAGTTGCACCTGGGAGTTCCTGGACTTAGCAGAGGCAAATGATTGTGTGGTCAGAGCTAGGCTTTAGCCACATACCAAATACCTGCTTGGTGCTGTCTCACCTTCCTGGAATCAGCCTCCACACGCATCTCTCTCCTGGCTGAGCCCTCCTCACATGTTGCTTGCCTGGTCCCTCTAGTCATCATCCTCTTTCTGATCAATCCCAAAGTCAATTCCCTCTCCAGCATGTCAGGAGATCCAGTAGTCATAAACAAGTCAGTATAAATTTTCTTCTAAACTTAAAAAAAAAAAAGGGAAAGAAAAGCATTTTGTTATTTTGACATTTTTATTTTTCTTTAAGACCTGAGATTTATTAAGAAATAAGTTATTATTTACTATTTAACTTAGTAGTAAATTTAATGGTACTACCAATTTAAATTGACTTGTGAGAGATAAGAAACTAGAAATTTTACTATAAACTTATCTATCAGAACCACTATTTCTAGTTCTCACTGATGAAATCTAATTTTAAGGCTCATCACCCATGCTCAGTTGTTAGGGCACAAGCCATATACACTGGTGTTGCCCTGGCCTGCTAAACAACAGTGAAAACTACAACAAAAAAATAGCCAACTGGCTCGGCGCCTATAGCTCAACCGGCTAAGGCGCCAGCCACGTACACCTAAGGTGGCGGGTTT